AAATAACAAAAGTCGTGCATTGCACGGCCATAACTAGTAATCTATAGAAGTGCTAACATCTCAACAATGGTCAAAGCCCTTGTTTCCAATCCCCCTTTGAGCAGCGTTGCTACAGATATTTGGGTCAAAATCAATAATATTTTATTTTTTTACTTTTTTTTATGTTAGCTCCATAATGACATCGACCCTGTACAAACAAAATCAAAAGTCACTTTCACTTTAATTACGAAATTAAAGTCACTTTCACTTTAATTACCACAGCTATCCTAGAAGCACCTCGAAAACCTTAATAGTCAAGCAACTTTCTAGAATTCCAGTTTTGCTTTATATACATTTGATATCGCTGTGAAGTGAAAGTATTTTATACATTAATTTTAACAATACTTTAAATAATCAATGATAAAGATTTTGACGCGTCTTGAAATGTCAAATTTATTGTCCACAAAGAGTATAAAGTAGTTTAATACTAGAAATTTAGCCCCCGTTTGACAACAATTTTTTTAGAAGAATGATTTTTTTAATAATAAATTTTTGGAGAATGTGTGATTAAAATGTATGAAAAAAAATTAAATTTATATGGAGAATATTTCAATGTGAGAGAATTTGTTGTTGAAAATGGGTGAGAAAAAAGAAGTTTTTGAAAAATGGTTACCAAATAGAGGATTAATATGAAATTGTTATTTACATCCACCATTCTTATATATCTTCTCCACTTTAAATCTATTCCTCTTTAAATTTTTAATTTTTTTAAAATACTATATTCATCCACGTTACATTCCAATATTTGTTATTATAAAATTCATTATTTAAACATTAAGAGTCCGTTCTTTTTGTTGTTTTCAGATTATTTTCAGTTTTCGAAAACACGTTTACTTACTTATTTTAAAAAATGAATTTTCAAAAATGAGTTTAAAATTTACAAAGAAAATGGAAAACACCAAAAAGTCATTTAGGCTATTTTCAGTTAAAACCAAGCCAAAATTTTAAAACGCAGAAAACGAATTTTCTGAAGATTACGAGTTCGATTTTATTTCACCGCAATTCAATATAAATGAATTTTCTTTTTACATGCACAGTACCAAAAGCGTTTAGGCCTTCAGAAAGACCATTTCATCGTTCATTCGTCAGCCGGACACTCATCTCAAAATACCATTTAAACATTCAACTACCAAAAGCGTTAGGCCTTCAGAAAGACCATTTCACTGTTCATTCGCTAGCAGAATACTCATCTCAAACTTCTCTTCGTGCACTGCGCGGAGAGCAATCTATTTAATGTACCGTACCGTCCCTGGCAAACTAACAGTGAATTAAATCCACAAGGCTAATGTCGTCACTTCGCTCCAGCATCGATCATTTTGATCCAGTAAACTTATATTCCACTATATATAAGCTTGTGATACAACCATTTTGAGAAGAAACGGTCTAGATTTCTATTAACAATCCCATACACTCGGTTTAATGCATGGTGCTCTTGAAATATGTTGAGACACGCTTCATTTCCAGGATGCTGAGGTTAAAAAAAAAAGTTTCTAAAAATTTCAAAGTAAACTTGTTTTCCAGTTTTCTGTTTTGAGAAATAATTTTCTTTCAACAATTTCAAAACAGATACTCAAAACACAAAATTAAAAATGAATTCAAAACTTGAAACTAATAACTGAAACACGAAGAGTATAGCCCCTAAGTGCCTGATTGAGCCCCATTTTTGTCCAAAAATTCATTTTGAAATAGTATTTTGTTGAAAAATGTGTGGTTAAAAAATAAAATAAAAATTCTTGAATTTTCTTGTAATACTATTACTATTGATCACTCGTGGACCCAAAGATGTCAAAAACAATCTTCAAAAACAAGACATCTAAGTCGATAATAAAATCATCTTGTAGCACAGCATGTTGAACTTTATTGATATTTTTTAACTCGAGTATATATAGAAATTTTTGAAGTGAAACATGTTTAGTTTACCATAATTGAGAACTAATTGTGTTGTTGGGATTGAATAAAACAAAAGTAAATTAAATTGATGGGTCAAGATAGGAATTTCTTGAAGAATTGTATGGTAGAATGAAATCTTATTTAATTAGATCCCTCGATAATAAGAATTAGATAAGGAAAAAGATTTATATTTGCAATAAGGGGAAAAAAATAGAGTCGAAGAATGAAAAGGAAACTCACCGAAAACCCTACTTATAAACTATACAATTCAAAATTCAGGTCTAAAAGTTTTTTATACAAAAATCAGGTGATAATTTAATTTTTCTAATATTATAAAAATAAATTAATTTACATAACCAACCAACCAACCCCGTCCAACCCAAACATTAACCCTAACCTTTTTTTTAATATTATAAAAATAAATTAATTTACATAACCAACCAACCAACCCCGTCCAACCCAAACATTAACCCTAACCTTAAATCATTTCCCTTTCTCCCCCCCCCCTCTATCCTCTTCCTCTTCTCATTTCCCACCGGAACCGAAGCCACCGTGGAGAGACCGTCGACGAGAGAAGACAACAGCGACGTTGATATCCACAACGACGATAATCAGTTCGCCGTCTTCACAACGACGCTATGCTGCGCAGCGGCACTGTGTAGAGCCACTGCGCGCAGCGATCGATCAACCCATTCCATAATCTCCGGCGCCCATCACCCTTTCATTTACCAGTGCTTCCGCGCATGGTAGCTTGCTGTGAGGCGTTGCTCGCAATAGCGAGTCGACCTTGGGAGTTGTGTAGCGTGAGGGCCGCATCGTTGCACGCAGTGCAGCATACAATCTATTTTCTTCATTTGTATTTGTGTTTGTGTGGTGCGATATGATTTCTTTGTCATCTCTTCTATGTTCTACTCATTTGTTTAGTGTGGTGGTGATGGTCGTGGCGTGGTAGAGATGAAGGAGATGGTGGATTTGAGGAGAGGGCTGTGATGACTTTTGATACAGGAGGTTGTAGTGGTGCAGTGGTGGTGGCGATGGTGGTAGGTTTGGTGAATGGCTTGGCCTATATAATTGGCACTTGTGTTTCTCTTTAAATTCCAAGATTTCTTGTTCATTTTGATGCCTGAGAGGGATAATGGGGATAATGACACAGGAAGAAAATATCCTAAGGTGCAATTTTAATACTGGTGGAGAGGGTTGTGGCAACCTCGTCGATGGTGGTGGTGGAGGAGTGGATGATGGTGGTGGGAGTAGATCAAAGAAGACCAAGCAAAAAAAAGTTCCACGGAGAGGATTAGGAGTTGCCCAGCTTGAGAAACTTAGGTTGGAGGAACAACAGATAAATGGGGCATCTGTACAAGCAGCCAATATTTTGGCAAATAATGCAATTTGTTCACATAATGATTCTACTGCATGTTTAGCTATTCCACGTCCCAGTTTTAGGCCAAATCTTTGCTCTTCAAATTCAATCCCCTTGCCACCACTATCACCAACTGATCTACCCTCACTGAATTTCTTGCATTAGCCTGTCCAATCGAGCTAAAGTGTTCTATACCCAAATTCCGTTCAATTGTCCAAACCCTTGAATATAGGTGGAAATGAAATAGGTTTGCCAGCAACTTCGGGTCCTGGGCAGGGCAATTGGCCTAGATTGTGGAATGGTGAGTAGAATCTTGAAGGGGAAAAGCAAATGTTAGATCATCGAAGATTTGCAATTTGGCCTCATATAAATTTTCCGTATGAATCAAATGCCCTGGTTTTGCATCTTCCACAACGATCACATCAATTTCATCATCTTTCTTCTTCATCAATGGATTTGCGGAGGAGGAGGTGGCGGCGGTGATTGTTGCTGTGGCGGTGATTTTGAGGTGATTTTTGTGCTGATTGGTTGGTGGTGGATTTATGGTGCTTCCGGTGATGATGATAGAGATAAATCAGTCTTAAATGCATCCAGTTTTCATGCTGGGACTCGAGATTTATGTATATGAAACAGTTTCAGATGCATTATAAGAACAATTTACTTTGAGCAGTTTTTGTTATCTTTTTTTTTTTTTTTTGTCGCTTGGATTGTATGGCACTTATGCGCCCGATGTGCATTTGTTGATCAAGTGAAATTTATTTAACGCGAAATTCTTAATACTAACTTAAATTTCTGGTGATCTTATTGAATGCATTCCAAATGCACTGTGTCTCTACTTAGAAGTCTCCATAGCCATGACAAAACATTCCATCAATTGAGATTCATCATCAATTTTTCTTTTCAAGATTACTACTCAAAAATAAGGGGATAAATTTTATAACTTGTGACGAAATATGTATTTATTGTGATTGGTTGTGAGCAATTTTGATTGGTTGTGACCAATTTTGCGTTAATTGTGAACCATTGCGACTTGTTAATCGTGTTAATTGTGATCGATTGTGACTTGATCACATATGGGCACAGTTAGTCACGTTGAATATAAATTTGGTCACAATTGCAAATTTTCTGAAATGCGAGTGGGGGCCGGTGTAATCTCCAATTTTTAATTTTTAAAAAAAATTTGGGAGGCGAAGGTAGGGGTATGTGGATCCGGGGGTGGGGACAATTAATTTTAATTAATTATATATTATTCATGCAAAAACATGAAATACTCTGCGGTTAGTTTAAAGTCCAGCCGTCATTTTTGACCTTGCCTCACAAGTGGGGCCCAGTTTTCTCATTTTAATTAGTAATAAATTATTAATTAAAATTAACACCTGATTTTTGAAATAATTTGACAAGTTTGATAATTTTGAAATGTAGGAACCATGTATTGTTCCCTAAAATATGACAGTGCAATTTGATAAATTTGGCACCATAGAGACGCGAGCATATAGGAATTGGCAGCTCACTGACGTTTCTTAGAGAGAGAAGGCTAATCTTCTATGACATTTTTTTGGGCCTCTCAACTTTGGACGCCCTAGGTAATTGTCTAGGTGACCTTAGTCCAGAACTGTCCTGATTACGAGGGTAAGGGAGGGTGCATCTGTTCTATTTTTGGCCGAAGAGGTGAAAATTTAACGTATTGCACTAAGCTAGCACCGCTATTATTAGAGTCACGAACAGCATGATAACTACATGTACCTCTAGATGTTGACATTGTTTAAGATGGTTAAACTTTGCACACGTAGTGTTATAAAAAATGACTTGAACATGTATTATATAGATATAATGGGAAAAAAAACACTGGAATAAGAGTAGTCGAACCTTGGTGAAAAACTTGAGTGTGGCTTCGAATTTGCAATACATGCTCCAGAAACATTTTAGATCTCTTTAGAACATATCAAAAAATAAACCACGATTTGCTTTAGCTAAAAATTATATTTTTAGTAAATTTTGATAAAAAATGATGAAATCTGTAGTTTGAAAATTGATAAAAGTTGCGTCTCATTAAATTTGTTTTTAAAATTATCTATTGACTTTAACTTAAACTTAAACTTTTATTAACTTTCTTAAATAAATCAAAAAGAGCTTAAACTTACTCGACTCATAATCGATTAAATATTCACCTTCTATTAGTTTTCACACACGGCCACAAAGTTTTAAAGCTTCGAGAAATAAGCATTTGTGTATGTTTGGCATATATAGAGGCGTTAAATGCTCGGCTAGCATAATTTTTTTCCCTAACTAAAGAGGATTTCCCCAATTGAGATTTTAATGTATTTTAATGAAATTCATTAAAATGTAGGTGTTCCTAATTGAAATTTTAATAAAATTCAATGAAATACTTTAAAATTTAGATATCCTAAGTAACTTGTGGATTTATAAAGATTTCAGTAATAGAGTCATTTTAAAATATTTGGATAGATTTTAAACTTAAAAATAAATATAACCAGTATTTTTGAAATTTCAACATATTTGATAAGATTCTTATTGAATTTGTGGAAATCTGTTCAAATTCAAGAAATTTATTAGGATTTATAATCTTTTAAAATTCATCGAAAACCTTAATAGTCAAGCAACTGTTTAGAATTCCACTTTTGTTACATATACGTTAGCACCATGATTGATCCACATTCATACAAAAATTCATTTTTTTCAAAATTCATTTTCAATCACATATTCTTCAATAACATAGTATTACACGCAAATTCAAAACATTTCCTTATTTTTTAACCACATATTTTCCATCAAATCACTATTTAAAATGCATTCTTCACTTAATAATGTGTATCGAACAGGATCTAAGTGTGTGAGGTGACAATTTTTTATACATTAATTTTAAAAATATTTTAAATAACTAATGGTGCAGATTTTCACACATCTTGAAATGTCAAACGTATTGTCCACAAAAAGTATACAAGTAGTTTAGTTCTAAAATTTTAGCCCCCATTTGACAAATTTTTTTTTTAAACGATGAATTTTTTACTAGTAAATTTTTGGAGAATGTGTGATTAAAATGTAGGAAAAAATTTGGATTTGCATAAAAGTGTGTTGTTGTGATAATATGTTGTTGAAAATGAGCGAGGAAAAAGAAGTTTTGGAAGAACGATTACCAAAAGAGGAAAAATAGAGAGCTGCTATTTGCATTCACCATTCTTATATATCTACTCCACTCCAAATTTATTCCTCATAAAATTTTAAAAAATGTTATATTCATCGACGTTACATTATAATATCTGTTCTTATAAAATTCATTAATTTAAACACCATGTGCTTGTTTGAGTCCCATTTTTTTTGTCCAAAAATACATTTTAAAATGGTGTTTGTTGGAGAGTTTGTGATTAAAAAATAAGGAAAATTTTTGAATTTGCTTATAATACTATTACTATTGATCACTCGTGAACCCAAATATGTGAAATTCAGGAAAAGCCGATCGACGGCATCAGCCTCTTCAGTGACAACTTATGATAAGCGAAACTAAAATCGTATGAAACTCTAAATTTCAAACACTTGAAAACATAATTACTTTATTGTCAGATCATTCAGTCAAATTATTAAATGTGGAACATACTGTAATTCATTGAGAATTATTCTTTAATATTGGATCTTGAAGATCAATTGCAATCTTTTTATGTTTGACTTCTGAATTCCTAATATTTGATTGTTTCAATTCATTCTTTTTTATTCTTAATTGTAGATTGTCTATTCTTGATTGTGAATTTTAGATATTCCTCTTCATTATGTTTTTTATCGTATTCTCGTGTTGATAGGATGACACAAAGAATGAGAATCAAATATGAATTGGAGATCATAACCCCATTTATATTTGCACATTCAATCTTCAAAAACAAAATACATTTAAGTCTCTTGTAGCACTGCACGTTGCACGTTGAACTTTATTGATATTTTTTAACTCGAGTATATATAGAAATTTTTGAAGTGAAACATGTTTAGTTTACCATAATTGAGAACTAATTGTGTTGTTGGGATTGAATAAAACAAAAGTAAATTAAATTGATGGGCCGAGATAGGAATTTCTAGAAGAATTAGAGTTGAAGAATGAAAAGGAAACTCACCGAATCTTGGGCCTAGGTAATAAAATATATGACAGTGCAATTTGATAAATTTGGCACCATAGAGACACGAACACATAGGAATTGGCAGCTAACTGACGTTTCTTAGAGAGAGAGGGCTCTTCTTTGGCAGCTAACTGACTTTAGTCTAGAACTGTCCTCTTTACGAGGGCAAGGGAGGGTGCATCGGTTTTATTTTTGGCCGAAGAGGTGAAAATTTAACATATTGCACAAAGCTAGCACCGCTATTATTAGTTACGAACAACATGATAACTACATATACATTTAGATGTTAACATGACATTGTCTACGACGGTTAAACTTTGCACGCGCAGTGTCGTAAAAAATGACTTAAATAGACATCATATGGATATAATGGGAAAAAAGAACTGGAATAAGAGTAGTCGAACCTTGGTGAGAAACTTGAGCGTGGCTTCGAATTTGCAATGCATGCTCCAGAAACATGTTACGTCTCTTTAGAACATACCAAAAAATAAACCCCGATTTGCTTTAGCTAAAAATTATATTTTTAGTAAATTTTGATAAAAAATGATGAAATGTGTAGTTTGAAAATTGATAAAAGTTGCGTCCCATTAAATTTGTTTTTAAAATTATCTATTGACAACTTAAACTTTTATTAACTTTCTTAACTAAATCAAAAAGAGCATTTGTGTATGTTTGGCATATATAGAGGTGTTAAATGCCCGGCTAGCATAATTTTTTTTCCCTAACTAAAGGGGATTTCCCCAATTGAGATTTTAATATATTTTAATGAAATTCATTAAAATGTAGGTGTTCCTAATTGAAATTCTAATAAAATTCAATGAAATACTTTAAAATTTAGATATCCTAAGTAACTTGTGGATTTATAAAGATTTCATTAGTAGAGTCATTTTAAAATATTTGGATAGATTTTAAACTTAAAAATACATATAACTAGATTTTTTTGAAATTTCAACATATTTGATAAGATTCTTATTGAATTTGTGGAAATCTGTTCAAATTCACGAAATTTATAAGGATTTATAATCTTTTGAAATTCATAAAAAT